TCTATAGATTAGGAACGTGATGCAAGTTTATCCCTGCGAATAACAGCGCTCCCTTGTAGCTTATTGCGAAAAATAAGAATTTCATGAAATTATTCACAGTTCTAAATATGCTCAGAAACAATAATAATTTAAATGTCGAATGTATTTTGTGAGGAATTGAAACTTATTCGAACAAGGGCCTTGATCTATTGAATAGAATTCGTAAATCTCGTACTATAAATTTAAAAATGAAACATAAGGAAGAAACTTGATCTAATTTGAAAAATGAAAATATAAAATTCATAAATTGTTCCTTTGATTGATTTTTTTTTTTTTTGCAAATGAAAATCAATCTATGAACACTCAAATAATAGTGGCTAAATATTGGAACTAATTGCTATTGCCATTCGCGTATTGTATTATATAGTTCTCCAATTCACCGCTGTTTAAGCGTGGAGTGCGCCACAGACGAAATATAATTATTGACTATGTAACTAGCATAGACTGGACATCCAATTTTTCGTGTCCCACATGGTATAGTCACCGACGAGATATATAAATAGACCAAGCATCTTACGGGATTTCGTGGCTCGTGACCTGAAATACCGACATAGTAAAAATTCAGTAATTTTTTAGCACACTACATTTAAACAACGATGCGTTGGGAAACTAGTAAATGCGCCAGCGATATGATTTTTTTAAACCATTGACTAATAAAATAGGCCAGCATCCAATGCTTTTTCGTATCCCACGTTTCGGAAGTCACCTCACTTTCTTACCATTTTCGTGTCACATCCTGTTATATCGATTTAGACAAGTATTTGCACCACAGCGCTATTGACGATAGAAATATATACCTCATCTGTGATATAGTGTGCTAAAAAACCAAAGTCTGGTCGATATTTCAAATTCTGAGACACGAAGTCTCATTTAATGTCCAATCTATCCTATTTTTAGTCAATGGTACTGTATGTCAAGTCTATTTGATGTATAGTCAGTGGTTAAAATTAATATTCTTATTTATACGACGTTAAATTCTGTTAATTTTATATTTATCATATGAGGAAAGGATAATGCAAAGTTTAATATTACGACTCATTCATAGCTAATGTTTCATGTTTTTCATATTGCGACTGTTTCTTATTTTTCGTTGCGAATAAGAATGAGAAATAAAAACATGTTATGCATTATACGTTTCAAATATATAAGCATTTTGTAAAAAAAAAATATATATATATATATAAAAATTGGAAAAATGAAATTTGAATTTAATAAAATGTAAAAATAAAACGGAGTGTTGCATTCTATCTGTTGTCACTGATAAGTTTATCCATGTATTTGTTCTATTTACTAAGGTATAAATTTCCCGAATAATTTACAGAGAAATATTTTTAAAATATAATTTATGCAAATTTATTTATATATATATAATATGTTTTAACTGGAAATATATTTTTAAAAGAACTTCGACATGATTTCCAAAACTGTATGTATCACTCAAGAGGGTCCAGCAAATGCATTGGCACTTAATAAAGACAATAGTCAAGTTGTTATAGCAGGACGTAATGGTGAGTTATTTGTCAATTAAAAATTAATATCTTAAAGAAGTAATATTACTATTTTATATTGCAGTTTTTAAAATATTTACTTTATTGGAAGATAGATTTGAGGAAGCTTGTAATTTACGCGTGGGAAAAAATTTAAATTTAAATTTTTCTTGTAATGATGTTGCTTGGAATCTTATTGATGGTGAGTTAAATTAATGTTTTGTTGTTGAATTAATTTTTTCTTTTCTTTTGATTAATAAATCAGATTACAAGTAATTTCTTTCTTCAGATCATATATTAGCCACTGCGGCTACAAATGGCGCAGTAGTAGTGTGGAACTTAAATAAATCATCCAGATCCAAGCAAGAACATGTTTTTATCGATCATAAAAGGACTGTAAATAAAGTAAGTTTCCATATGACAGAACCTATGTGGTTAATATCAGGTTCTCAAGATGGCACTATGAAATGCTTTGATTTGAGAATAAAAGAAGCTACTAGAACCTTTTATAGGTAAATACATAATTAGCATGCATTTTGATATATATTGAAATATATTTGACAATGTTGTTGATTTCAGTAATACAGAATCAGTAAGAGATGTACAATTTTGCCCCCATTCACCTCATACTTTTGCTGCTGTTTCTGAAAATGGGCATGTGCAACAATGGGACCTACGTAAACCAGACCGTTACTTTCAACATTTTACTGCCCATAGTGGTCCCATATTTGCTTGTGATTGGCATCCAGAAGCTGTTTGGCTCGCAACTGCCTCTAGAGACAAAACTATTAAAGTAGTTGACAATTATCTATTTTGTTTCCCATTTGAATTAAAATTATATTTATGTATTCGAAATGTTATTTGTAGGTTTGGGACTTGTCAGGCAAACCAAGTTGTGATTATGTTATACATACAATAGCATCAGTAGGTCGTATAAAATGGAGACCTCAAAGAAAACATCATATATCCAGTTGTGCCCTTGTAGTAGACTGTAGTATAAATGTATGGGATATTCGTAGGCCTTATATACCTTTTGCAAGTTTTAATGAACATAAAGACGTTCCGACCGGTGTTGCATGGAGAGGCAATCCACAGTCTTTTTTGTCAACTAGTAGGGTAATAACAGCATTATAATATTTACAGTAAAATATTGAATTATTAAAAGATATGTAGTAGTAGAATATTTTTGACGTAGGACTGTACACTGTATCATCATGTGTTCAAAGATGCAACTAGACCTGCGAGTAAAGCGAATCCGCAAGGAATCGCGTTGAATTCAAAAGGAGATATTGCATATGCTTGTAAAGTGAACGTTCATGTTACAACTACAATGAAGCAATTTACTAATATCATGAGGTTAATTAAATCGCTATTTAAACGAACGGTCCTGGAAAATGGAAATAAATCAGTGAATATAATTCAATAATTATTTATAGGAAGGCACCAGCAACGAATGATACGTTTTACATGGCATCTAGTGTCATGCATAGATTCGCTATAAATATGCCACGGGAACCGAAATGGTTTAAAGCCTGTGCAGAAGGTTATTTGCTTTCTGGAAGATTAAACGACATTTGTGATCATAATGCCATTATTGCCAGAAATGCCGGTCGAAATGATGTATGTAATCATTTAACTTAACGTCATTCTATCTCACTTTCATATTATATTATTAATATAAAAAAATCAACTTCGACTAGATTAGTACAGTGTGGAATATTATAAAAACCTTATACGCGAATCCTCTGGGAGCTATTTTAAAAACACCTCCGACCGCTTCCAAAGAAGATATAGTGAATACATTAAATTTAGCACAGATTACAATGGGACCTAGTATAGATCAATCAAATGCAGGTAAAGATATTATTGTGATTAAATAACAAGCGATCTTATCTAGAATTTCCACGAGTAATTAAAATTTTACAAACTTTTAATAACGTCTGTAATATCTTTTTTAAGTATATGAAAATGATGTAAAATCACTGCAAGGAGAAGTGACAGGAGCAACTAGCGGAGGTGACGATGAGACAGAGACAGATGAAACACCGGAGAATCAACATTCCATAGGATCTATGTTACCTAGGTAAAATTAATTACATTCACGGCAACATTGCGCATAATTTTTCTTATGTGAAAATATCTAGCTACAGACGAGCGTTTATTGATCATAAAGAGACATCGAAAGGAGATTTTTTATTTGGCGAAAGTGAATTTGAACCAATGATTATGGAGTATACTTCCAGTTATATACATAATATGATAAATAATGACAATGACTGGACATTGTCCAAAGAAGCATTTCCTTTGCGGCATGAAATAAAAGACAGATCTCCACCACCGGAACAGTTTCCAAATCATCCGCCAGATATTAACGAAGACTGTGCTTCGTTGATGATTGAAGATCAACCGAGTCAATTGATAGTCTCAAATATACCTAAACCACAATTTTGGGATCCTACGAACTTGATCGAAGAAGCTTTGAAGCATCATGCCGCGCTTAGAGACATACAAACTTCCGCATCGATTCTTATCGCGTTAGGAGAGAAACGAAAAAACTTGAACATCGAAACTGCTGTTCAAGAACATTGGATATTAGAATACTTGGATATGCTTGCAAGATTTAAACTTTGGAATGTGGCTACGCAGGTTAGTGACAAATTGTAATTAAAATATCTTAATAACACTCAAATGGAAAACACAGTAAGATTGATGTATATCGACAGATTATTCAATCGGTCTGGATTCCATCTGTGTCGCAATTAAATCAACAGTCAACTGTAATACACGCGTGCTGCTCAGCTTGTTCAAAACCATTGCAACGAGCAGCGTGGTTTTGCGATCGATGTCACACGTCTCACCACGCACTCTGCTCGGTTTGTCATCAGGTGAGCTATTGAATTACGATCATTTCTTGCATC